TTGACACAGCAGAGTAAAGAGACAACCCACAACGTGTTAGAAAATGTTTGCCAACTGTTCCTCAGACAAATGATTACTATAGAGAACATTAGAAAGCACTCAAAAAATCATTTCTCCCAGATTTAAAGACCCAGCTCAAAAATTGGTATCTGAGATGAACACATACTTCTCAGATAAGGAAGTAAAAACAGCAAATAAATATGTGAAAAAATTTTCAAAAGCATGGGCCATTTGAAATATGCAAATTAAAACAACACTGAGATTTCACCTCACACCAGAAAGAATAGCTATCATCAAAAAATCGACCAATAACAAATGCTAGAGGGCTGTGGGGAAAAAGGAACTCTTCTCCATTGTTGGTGGAAATAGAGACTGGTTCAACCACTGTGGAAATCAGTGTGAAGATTCCCAAAAAAACTAAGATAGGAGGTCCCATTTGATCCAGTTATTCCCCTTCTGAGTAGCTTCATAAAAGAATTTAAAACATCATCACAGTGATATATGTGCGTCTATGTTTATAGCAGCACAGTTTATAACAGCCAGATCTTGGAAACAACCTAAATGTCCACTGACTGAGAAATGGATAAAAAAGATATGGTATTTCTATATAATGAAATACTGCTCAGCCATAAATAATGATAAACTGGACATGGAAATGGATGTACCTTGAAAATATACTTATTAGTGAAATAAATATGTTACACCTGCGTAGTCATCACATTTTTCATTAGTATGTATGGAAAAACATGCCTTTTGTCCCAGGGAGAATGACTTCAGCCAATAAATGACTCAGACCATACCTGCCTTCACTTTAACTCACTGTGAGCCATTTTGAGTTGACTTTTGGATGTTTTAAGAAATTTTTTATGTGCTACAAAATTTGGGTTTTTTACACGTGAATAACCAATTGTTCCAGTATATTTATTGAAGGTACAACCCTTTCTCCACTTAATTGCTTTTGCAATTGCCAAAAACCAAATGCCTGTTGTGTGTATCTATTTTGGGACTTCATATTGGTACTTTCATGGTTTGTCTATCTTGACATCAATGCTGTTTTGTCATCATTGGTGTAACTTTGTAATAAATCATGGGGTTGGGGAGGGTTAGAGTTCTAATTTTATTCCTTTATTAAAATTGTGTAGACTATTCTGGTTCTTTTTTATTTTTATAGAAATGTAAGAATCAAAATGGAAATCTATATGAAAAATGATGTGGACACTTTGATAAGGGATTGTGTTTTCTGATCCTTATTATTTTCCTCTATTCATTTTTTTTTGTTTCATTCTGTCTTTTATTTTAAAAAAAAAAGAAAGAAAATTTAAAAGACTGGTTTAGCAGGGCGTGGTGGCTCACGCCTATAATCCAGCACGCAGGAGGCTGAGGCAAAATGGTTGCCATGAGTTTGAATCCAGTCAGGGCTACATAATGAGAATTTGTCTCAAGAGAAAAAAAAGACTGGCTTGAAATGGCCACGCATAGTTAAGTATAGCAAAGTATAAAAGCGCTGTCTGTGTGATGGAGCTCCAAAGGAGCCAGGTAAAGGCCTGAACTCTTCTGTAATATCCCATGCAAGTCTGTATCAGGAAACTGAAGGGTCCAAGATGGAAGCCAGGAGATGACACCTAAGGAGAAGGTGAAGACTGGAGCTCCTCCAAACAGATGGGAGCCTTCCTTCTTCCCTTCCCTTTTGTTGCGTTCAGGCAGCAAGCCTATTGGCTGCTGTCACTCATACCCAGGGCGGGGCTTCTCTCTTCAGCAGATCCCCTTAGCCACACCCAGAACTATGCTGATCCAATGTAGTTGGATGTTTCTTATTCAGTTAGTAATCACATAATGTGGGTCACAGACACCTCAGAATTGTAGGCACCAGTAGAAGTATGCGGGGACAGGGCTATTATCCTTGATTTGTGCTGCTCAAGAAATCTCTTTGTGATAAGTAACTGATTGTGTCAATTTGTGTAAGAAGAGCTCAACTTCATAGGATTAACATAGTTCTGGGGGTGGAAGACCCACCAGAGGGAGGACTGTCATCCACCCTAGGGAGGATTGGCTCAGGAATGGTATAAAAGGCGGTTTCCTCCTGCTCCTCAGAGGACCTCAGTGGCTTCCACAGCTCACTCTTCAACCTCCAGAATCAGACTTCTGTGAGACACTACACTAAGCCCCAGGTCTTCAACTAGATCCTTCCGGTCTCTAGCGTGCAGACAGACTCTTCACACTCTTCAACGCCAGGCTCTGGGTGACCACTGTAAGTCAATTTTATAAAATCTTATATATCTATACATCTTGCAATAAATCTGTTTCTCCAGTAAGCATCAACACTTCTTTTTTTTTTTTTTTTTTTTTGATAGACAGGGTCTTGCTAAGTAGTCCAGCCTTTGAACTTGCTGCAATCCTCCTGATTCAACCTCCCAATTACTGGAATTCTAGATGTGCCTGACCATGCCTGGCCCATGCATGAAGTCTCTTGGACTCACAGGTACCTGGTGGGGGGGGGGGTGTACATCCCAGTACAGATTCCTAAATGTAGAAAGAAGCAGTGAACATTGGGCAGAAAAGCTCTTGGCTGAATGAGTGGGGTTTTTTGTTTTTGTTTTTGTTTTTGGTCTTTTTTGAGACAGGGTCTCGCCATGCAGTTCAGGCTGGCCTTGAGCTCACTTTGTAGCCCAGGCTGGTCTCGAACTTGTAGCAATCCTCCTGCCTCAGCCTCCCGAGTGCTGGAATTACAGGCATGAGCCACCACACCCGGCTCTGAATTGAGAGTTTTGTCTAAATTTTCTAGTCAGAAAGACAATGCCAGTGTCACTGACATTTTGCTCATACTCATAGGGCCATGCTCATGAGGTCAAATTGTTTTTGATCTCCCAAAATTCATGCCCACTCTGCTCCCTCCCCAACCAGTCTATGCTCTGAGGAGGGAAAGCACAGAGGGTCAGAGGATCACACATGTTCAGAGTAGACGGTGGACACATGCAATATCTGCTGAGGAGAAGAGACAGAAAGTCAGCAGCCCAGAGGGAACACCAAGGTGATGGACAGACTTTGAGTCCTCCATGTCCAGTCTGGTAGCTAGGTGTGTTTTCCTTCAAACTGGTTACCAGATTGGCACACATGATCACCTTGGGGACTTCGATCTCCCTGCTTAGCAGGTTCAAAGCCCATGGGTGTTGGCATCCCATGGGCAACAGCTGCTTCTCAGAGATGATCTCCACTTGTGTCCTCTCTGGAGAAGCAGCATTGGCTTAGGATCAACTGAATTACAGAAGCGGGGTGCAGGCAGCTCAGAGTCTGTTCTGTGGAGGGGAAGGTGGTGTTTGGGAGAACTCATGGCCACCAGCCCCCATCCTCCCGGTGTGAGGACCAGAGTCCCCAGCCTCTCACTCCTGGGTACACCCTGAGGTGGTGGTGGAGGATGATGAGATCCCAGGACAATCAGGTGAGGGGGCTGGAGACAGGAGAGGTCCGAGAAGGTGACCAGTGAGAAGGACGGGTGACAAGGAAGGAGGGGCTAATGAAGGCAAAGACAGGAGACAGGAACGACAGGAAACAGGACAAGGATGGCTGTACGGGCTCCTGTCTAGATGTCCCCAAAGCCTCATGCAGCCATAGTGGGGCTTTTCAGAGTGGCTGGATCTAGAGAGTGATGCTGGGATCGAGGGTGTGTGATCACTAACTCAGTCCACTGATTGGTGCTGAGCATAGTTCTGGGTAGGATTCAGGTGCCTCACTGTGGGTAAAATATAAGGCACAGAAAGAGGCTGGTGCTGGTCGCTTGCTGCTTGGGACGTCACTGCTTTGCTGCTTCTGCCACTCCACAAACTGGTTCTCCTTTGTGATACCCCTCTGCCATGCCATCGCGCCCTGGAGCCAGCTATTACAAACTGAGCCAGAATAAAACTTGCCTCCTTTCACTGTGGGTGTCTCAGCAACAAGAAAAGAAACTAAGACTAAGGCCGATGAATAGAAAAGCTGGGGAGCTGGAAAGGGGTCAGGAGATGAGAGCCAAGAATGAGCAGGGGAGGAGGAGGTGGCTCAGGTCCCTCCCTTGATGAGGAAGGCGTCTGGGTGAGGAAGACTTTGTAAGCACAGGGTGAGGGGACAGTGGCAAGAAGAATGGGGCAGATGGAGATCGCAGGGCTTTGGAGGGGACAACTGTGGAGGAACTTTGGGGTTTATTTCCAAGGAGGGATTTGGGGTGACATGGTTGCTGAGACAATACCGGACACCCAAAGTTAAAGAAAGGTTTCCTTCAGCTCATTGCCTGGCTTCCCAGCAGGGTGTATGGCAAAGGGGCATCGCAGGGCAGGCAGGAAGCAGCCACCAGCCAAGCAGCAGCAGCCACAACAGCAAGTCTGCCCTCTTTCTGTCCCTTTATACTCCATCCAGGCTGCAAATCTACTGATTGGTGTCACCCATACCCAGGGTGGGCACCCAACATACAGCCTTAATCCACCTTCACACACCCTAATCATCACCTTCAAATCTCCCCTCTATGACCGCACAAAGCTTTGGGGGACATCGAGGTACAAACCAGAACACATGGTCAAAGGCTGAATTCCAAAGACGATGCTCACACTGGACCTGGGTTTCTTTCCTCAGGTCTGTTGGTAGCACCCAGCCTCCTGCTTTGGGCCTTTCTTCAGAGAAGGAAGAGAGATTGCTCCTCAGACTCTGGGGAGCAGCTGCAGGAGGACATGGGGGGTCTCCTCAGCAGAGCCCCTAGGTCTTCACCATTCTTCCTGCCTCAGTTGCCCGTCCCGGAGGAGCAGAAGGATGCCTCCTCTTCAGAATCAGAGGAAGAGGATCACCAGGGGGACTCTGCCTCGGCCCTGAGTGGGAACCCCAGCCTCTCACCTTGGTCCTCTGGGCACAGCTGGAACCAAGAGTGCTCATCAGAGGCCAAGGAGGAGCAGAGGGGAGGGCCCTGGTGCTCTGACATAGCCTTGCAGGAATGCATCAGTCTCCTATCCCTCAAAAGGTGGAGGGAATATCTGTCCCTGATGGAAAAGGAGCAGCGACAGCCATTGCGATGCCTACGCCCTGCACCTTTGACCCACCTGAGTGTCATAGAGAATCCTTGTGGCCTGAAGAGGAAGCACCGGTCCTTGGTGCTGCCTGAGCACCATGCAGCCTTCACCAGGCTGCTCGGTAAGGAGACACCACACATCACCTCCACCTGGCTCTTAGGAACCTGAGCGACTTTGCGTTCCTTTCTTCACCCATGGAAAGGAGCTCACTAAGCCCTGAGCTGGCCTTCTGGGAGGACTCTAGTGTCATCCTTCCCTAGGGACACACAGGTGACAGAAAAGGCGCAGTCCTCAAAACCCGTTCCCACTTGGGATCACAAAGCATGGTTCAGACCAGCCACCTGATAGAGAGCAGCTGCTCATTTTCCTGAATGGAAGTGACTGTAGCACTGGAGTGGGGACAAGGCCATTGTCACACTGCTGTGCCCATCACAAGAGCAAACGTCCCGGACGCCTCTGACTTCCACAGTGGTGCATTTGAGTGTCAGGGGAGGCCCCTACGGATTCCTCCTAAAGTCCTAACTGTGTGGGGCTACCTTGGCCCCACACAGTTGTTCCTGTTGGAGTCTCTGGATGAGCCTCTGGGCACTGGCCATTCAATGTCCTCCTTCCCCTTGCCATCGGCCTGACCCTGGGTCATCTCAGGCAGCTGTGGTTCTGTTCTGTGTTCCCACTCCCAGGGACTCCTAGCCAGGCGACAAGCTAACACTGTGCTCTCTTCACAGAGGATCCGGTCATCAAGAGATTCCTGGCCTGGGATAAACAAATGGGTGCCTCTGACAAGGTGAGGTCCTTCTCCCTGGAGCTGGGCTCTCTTGGTGGCACCGCCCAGGGAGGACAGCTTCCAGCCCCACAGTTACTCTTCTGTCCTTGCTAGGAACCCCCACCTTACCCTCAAAAACTCCAACCCCCTTAGGACTCAGCACCATCTCCCTTGCAGGCCTGGCTGGCCTAGAGGCTGGATGGGTGCAGCTCCCTGCTCTGCCTGGGTCCTCTGTGAACTGAGCCCAGGCCATAGCCTCCCGGCATATGGCCTCTCTGGCTGGCGCTGCATGAAAATTTTGGTCCCGCCCCTCAGCTTTCAGGGAACCCATTTGCTTAACTTAAAAGATCCCCTCTGATCCAGCTGACCTCCATGACCTGTCCCCAAAAGACCCTTACAGGTGACCACCTAGGCCTCCCCCCACCCTCACTGCTCTCATCTGCAAACAACCACCCTTCTCTCTCTTCCCTCAGATGACCAGGGGTCTGTTCTCTGACTGGGGCTCTGCTGTTCCCTGCAATCTGTATCCCCACATTCCTCTTCCTCCAGCTCTGCCTGCTGACTATGTTCTCTCCCCAATAGTACCTCCTGGCCACGGTCATCGCCTACTTCAGCCGGGCCGGCCTCTTCCCCTGGGAGTACCAGAGGATCCACTTCTTCCTGGCGCTGTGAGTACTGCGCCTCCCCCCACAGGCCATGGTCATCCCCGGAGGGTGGGAGGGGACTCTCACCCGGCCTCTGGCGTTAAACCTCTGTACTGCTGACTGTAGCACAGGGGTGTCACACTGCGTGCTCCCATGCTCCTGTTAGGAATCTTGCAGTCTGCCCTCACGTTGGTTAAAGCATGTCACCAGGGGAAACTGAGGCCCCTGACTGCAGAGGCAGGAAGAACCCACATATGGGCATCAGCCCTCAGGCCTGAGGGTAGGCATTTCTGACCCTTTGAGGGTTCCCTTCCTTAGCAATACCAAATGTCTTCTTGTCCCCTCCTCTGGGTTTCCTAGACCCATGGCCCATACATGCCCTCCTGACAGGCACACACTGAGTATAATGTGCTCCCTGCTGGTCCTTCTGACAAGTCTCTCCACAAACCAGGGAGCCTAGGAGCCAAGGAATCAGGGATCCAGGGAGACAGGGATCCAGGGAGACAGGGAGACAGGGAGACAGGGAGACAGGGAGCCAGGGAGACAGGGATCCAAGGAGACAGGGAGACAGGGATCCAGGGAGACAGGGAGACAGGGAGACAGGGAGCCAGGGAGCAGGCTCTGTGTTGCCTGATCAGCCTTCAAAGACGGGCCCAAAGCTCACTTGCCACGTGGCTCCCGCATCACTAATACTTCATGCACACCAAGGCCGAGACATTCTCTGGTACTCACCGGCTCTACAATCTCTCTCCACCCCCCAGCTCACCATCTTGATGTTCCCTTCCTTTCTTTCACTGCTCTTGCCAAGCACCCATCTCTGCCTTTATCTCTTGTTTCCTGTCCACATGACTTCATATTTTTAACTTGAATAAAAGTTACAAATCTTCAAAATATCCAAACTTCAATGGCTGCGGTGGTGCACACTTGCATTCACTCAGGATGCTCTGAGGGGTGGATTATTTTACTCCAGGGGTTCAAGGTCTAGGGGAACTCTGAGAATCTGTTTCACAAACACAAAGCTGGGCATCGCTGTGCACTCCCGTAATCAATGCCCTCTGGGTGCCTGAAGCAGGAGAATACGGCGTCGTCAGTTTAGGAAGCTGCCAAGACCCTGTTTCTGAACGAAACCTCCAGAAAAGGAGTGCAGATGTTGGTCAACCATAAAACCCTACATTCAGCCCCAGTCCTGCCAACAAAACACAACTGCCAGTGTCTCCATCCTTCCCGGATCCCTCCCTCTGCATTCCAGCAGCACTGTCCTCAGGTCCCGCTGTCAGGACATTCGGGGCCCTGGTTCCTCATCTGCCCTCGCTCACCTAATCACCTTTAGGGATGCGGCTGCTGAGTGCTGGGTCCTGTGAACATCCTTAAAATGGCAGCTTGGTTCTTCTCATTCAGTGAGTGTTTCTGTTGCAGCATTGAGTCCCCCAGGGGCTCTGCATGGCCTTTGTCTACAGGTGGAGCTGACCTGCCTGCCTTCCTCCTCTCTTTCCTTCCTTCCTTCCTTCCTTCCTTCAGCAAAACCTTCTGCCACGCATCCTCTGCTAGGGGTCTGAGCAATGGGGAGGGACATGTACGACTCGCTGGTGGAATCCATGCACACCCTGAGCCAAGCCCTGTGCTGGCCACTGGGGAGGGGAGGGCAGAGCACAGAAACTTATCAAGGTCGCCTGTGCAGATGCTCCCCACGGGGCCAGGAGACAGAGGCCGAGCTGCAGGGAAAGACAGGATGGAGGTGGGGAGGTGGAGATGTCAGCTGCAGCTGGTGACGGGGCAGGAGGCCACCTCAGGCTCTACCCAGGGCTCCTGTCCTCCTCCCCAGGGTGGGAAGCGCCTTCAGAAGGGCCGTGCGCAGGCTGCACCTCTGCACCTCTGGTCCTCGGGAACTCTGGGCCGGGCTGATGGCATCCTGGGCTGGAGGGGAACTCCTGTTCTCCATGAGCTGACTCAGGGTCCAGTGATTGTGCTGCTGACCAGCAGCCTGCTTTCCTTCCCAGATACCTGGCCAATGACATGGAGGAGGACGACCATATCCTTAAACAAGGCATCTTCTTGTTTCTCTATAACTGGAATTTGAAACAGATTTCCGAGTTCCACAAGCTGCGCTACCAATTCATCTGCTGCATGGACTGGAACCTCAGGGTGACCCGAGAGGAGTGTGAGGAGGTGGGTGAGACGGGGCTGGTGGGGCCGGGCTAGATTGGGACAGAAGAACAGGGGATCCTGGGCATGTGTGACCAGGGACAGCTGGAGACTGGATATGCGGGTGGTGTCCCTGAGCTCTTCATCCACTCAGGGGCTGCTTTCCTTTCCAGATCCAAGCCTATGACCCTGCACTCTGGGTGTGGAGCCGAGATCGCGCCCTCATCCCTGGACCCTGGTACCCTGAGAACAGTGCCCTCAAGAAGGTGGGTGGGCTTCCTGGTGTTCAGACAGCACCGCTGGTGTCTATGTAGGCAATGCGGGGAGCCCGTGGGAGGTTCCTTTCATGATCCCCCACCCTGTCCACTGTCTCTATATCTGGAACCAGCCCAGTCCCAGGCACAATTTTAGCCTCTCCCTGCCCCCTCCAAAGTCGCCAACCAGCATGACAAGCAGACACATGGCCTGGGAAAGATGAGCTATGTGCTGGGACACTGCTCTGTCGGACCTCACGAACAGCGGATTGTCCGTGAGGCACAGATTTAGTAGCTATCCTTCCTCCCAGAGCAATGGGTCCAGGGCAGTGTGGATGAGAGACTGATTTTTGTTCTGAGTGAACATCTATTGCCCAGCCATAAATTTCCATCTCCTGACAGAGCTGTATTTTCACCTTTTGTCCTTCAGGGAGAGGAAACAGAGGGATTTATGTATAACAAATGAGTGCTTAAGGAGAAGCTATCAGATGGAGCACACTGCCTGTGCAGGCATGGAAGGGAATTATCCCTGACTGCATGAGCATCCCCGGCTGCACGGAGATGTGTTGCTTGTGCTTGAGTGCACTGGGAGCGCTCATTCCTAGCTCATTTTTCCACTTGTGCATGAATTTCTACTCTCCATAATTACACATCTGCTCCTCAAGAATCAGGTCATGGATGTGTGTAAGAATGATAAAAAGTTAACAAAGACTAGGTTCACGGTGACTTCTTACAATAGTTACATTCCAGTATGTGTTTGGGTAGAGGAATAAGCAAAGATTTGTTGTAAATCATGTGCATGTAGTGAGACACTGGGGCTTGGGATTAGGCTCAGCACCTGGGCTTCTGTCACGATGTTGACATTGGTGATGGTGATGTCACAGGCAAAAGTCCAGACCTTAAGTGCATGGACAGCCCTAAGGGCATCATAAGTGATGTGCCATCTTCCCCAAAGGCTGTCAGGTTCCCAAGAAGAACCACTCTCACTATGAGGAGGAAGCTAGGTCTAACCGAGCCATCTCACGTGATCTTTGGAATGCGGGTCTAAAACATTGAAAACCACAACGGGAAATGATGGCTCAGGATTGGGGCTAAGAATGAAGTATAGAGATAGAGCTGGACCTGGATTTGGTTCAGACTCTAGATGGGCTTGGCATTTGGGTGTCAATCTTGTCATCTAGAAAATTGTCCCCATGGGTCTGACTTTGTCTCTTCTCTGCCTTCCAGATCTCTGGCCCAGGAAGCAATGAAATACACTCAGCACAGCATACAACCCAGAGCTGGGAACCCATGGTGGGACCATAAGGGACGAGATTTTCTACAGCACCTTGCAAATTTTACAATCTCCCTTCAAGTTTCCCTTGAATTAGAAGTTGGATATCTGCTTTTTCTACATTTGGTTCCCTTCTATAGCCTGGACAGCCATTGAAGATGGCCTGTAGAGTCTCAGGTTGAGAGGAAATTACTTGAAATATAATTTTAGGTCCATATGCATATCATAGATTTCTTCAGTATAGAGTATAAACCATACTGGTTTACTGTACACATTTTGCCCATGGAAATGTTACTATGTATATTTAATGTAATATTCAGATATTATAGATATTTGTAGTCCTATTCTTATACTATTTTGATAAATAATTTTAATGGATGGTTGTACATATATACTTTGTCTTTTAGAGAGGTTTATACCTTAATTACTATAGTTATGCAGACATTGTACTCATAGCCGGGGGCTGTGAGCCGGGCCCTCAAACTCCTGTAAATATACACATTGAGCAGGTTGGCTGCTGAGTCTGACACACGAAGAAGCGGTGGGTGTAGAAGAAACGCGTGTGCTCCTCGTGTTCCACACAGGACAGAGCCAGGCATTTCTCGCAGATGGAAAATAAAGATGAACTGTCGTCTCGCCTCTCTCCCTGTGTGTGTGTGATTCTGTCCCTCCTGCTTGTTTGCCTTCCGGGGACATTTCCTCCCCACAGGGCCGAGGTTGTTTGACTAAATTCCTTAGCTGTGAAAGGGAGTCCTGACTTGTTTTTCAGTACACAAAGGAAACACACAAAAAGCAGCAGAGATTTAAATGAGGGCAAGGGACTGAAGTAGGAAAGCCAGGCACAGGGAGAAGGAAGCAAAGTCTGTGGTGGCCTGGATGATCATCCTAAACCCTAAAGGAAGGAAAAGCATCTGTCTGCCCCGGAATGGCCCAGGTGAGGAGGGAGCACAGGCCAGGGGTGTCCCTTTGCCATTCCAGTCACAGGGGCTTCTGTTGCATAACCTAAATGCTGATTTGCATCTTAGGAAAATCTAGAAAAACGGAAACAACTGAAAAGAAATGGCACTATGGGGCTGGGGATTTAGCTCAGCGGCATAAGCACCTGCCTTGCAAGCAGGCGGTCATGAGTTTGATCCCTGGTACCGATAAAAATGAAAAACACACACAAAAAAAGAAATGGCAGTATGGGAGCAGTTTCTGAGGAAGGAGATGAGAGGAGAGCCGGAGCTGTCCATGGATGGGGGAGAGGAAGGGCTGAGGGCAGATGCTGGAAGGCTGCAGAGCGGCATCTTGGGACCTGGAGCAGTGGAGAGCAGGGCAGCAGCCGGGAGGGGGCGGCTGGAAGCAACTCGAGAGCCAGAAGGAAGCAGGGCTGAAGAAGGGCAGACAGATGAGAGGAGAGGAGAGAATGGGGACAGAGAAAGAGGCAGGATGGATGCTAAGGGCTTGGGGACGGCTGAGACATGGCATGAGCTGAAAGTCTGATGGGTGAGGTGGAGGGGTGAGTGAGCAGAGCAAGTGAAGACATGAAAGTTCTCAGGAAGGCAGAAGCCATCAGAGGCAGGCACACTGTACCACATTAAGTAGGGACACACACCTGTAATCCCAGCACTCTGGAAGGCTGAGGCAGGAGGGTCAGACCAATCTGGAATATTTAGTGATACAGCTACTCTATCTCAAAATACAAAAATCAGGAAAGAGTTGGAGGTATAGCTAACCACGAAGAATGGATGGAACCTGAGTTCAATTTCCTGTATGGCAAAAAGAATAGGAAAGGAAGGGAAGGGGAGGGGAGGGGAGCAGGGGAAAGCCAAAGCCCTTTGCAGAACAATTCTGAGACTGGCCACTTGCTTTCAGAAAGGCTTTGTCTATCTGAGCTCTGTGCTCCCAGCCTGGGCTGGGCCTGTGCTCCTTCTGACTCAGCCTTCCAGCGGGCCTGTTTCCCAGTCTCACCTCCATGCCTGAGTAAATCTGTATGCTCTTAGCCTTGCTGAAAATGCAGAAGCCCTCCCACTTCACAGGAACTCGTGACTTCAATACTGTCACCCCTACTCTAAAGAGGAGGAAAACAGGATCTAGGAAAACATTTCTGACCAAGGACACACAAGTTTCTGGATGGTAATTCTTGTCCCTAGAGAGCCAAGGTACATGGCACAGCACAGCGTGATGTGTTCCAAATTTTAGTGCACTGGAAAATAATCATAAAGTCTCTCCCTTGACCGAGGCAGGATTTTGTATTGAGACTCTCTGAGCCACCCCACATCTACAGTTATAAATGAGATCTGACTTAGACCTGTGCTTTTTCTGCCTTGGTCAAATGCCCTCAGTATCAACCTGTACATAGAGCCATGAATAAAGAATTTATATCTCAGTAAGTGGATATAGCGGCCCAACCCATAATCTCAGCACTGAGGAAGGAGGATGGCTATGAGTACAAAGCCAGCCTGGGCTACAGAGGAAGTTCAAGGCCAGGTTGAACTACATAGCAAGATCCTTTCAATCCATGTTAGGAAGAAGTTTCAGTCCCCATGTTCAGCACTCTCTCTCTCTCTTCTGCAGGGTTTCTGGGTGATGGAGGTTGAAGTCGTCCTCACAGATCAGAGATGGTGACTCGGTGACACACTGGAGGTGAAGATGCAGAGCCAGTGAGGGCCCAGCACTGCTGGTTGGGGGCCTGGGCTGAGGCTTCCTCCCAGGTGTCTGTGACCATGTGGACACTAAAGCCATAGGGGATGCTGTCACTGGCCAGTGACACCATAGCCTGGTTCCCAGCTTCCCCTCAGCCAGGGACTCCTGGCCTGCCACACCCCTCCGTGCCACATCTGATCACACCCCTGATGCGCCTCGATCCAGCATGTGTGCACTTCGATGTGCACGTGGCTCCCACTGGGAGCCCTGCTGCACTCTTCACCCAGAGAAATGGAATCTGAACGTACATCCATGAGAAACGGAAGTCAGGTCAGAGATCAGGATTGAGGAATGAGACTCAGAGGCCAGGCCCAGGCATCTGCACGTCCCGCTTTTGTGATTAGTGATGATTAATTCTGCAAAATAGTGGGCTTTTCTACCAGGTAATTCCACCACTAGGGAGGTTGAGGCAGGAGGATCACTGCAAGTTCAAGGCCAACTTGGAACACATAGTGAGTTCAATGCCAGCCTCGGTTACACAGCTAGACCCTGTCCTAAAAAACCAGGAAAAAAAGTATTGGTTTCAATGTGCTAATACACTGTCCTCATATTCTTCCCCACCTCCCTTTCTCACTGGACGTTCTTCCCTTCCTCTTGCTGCATAAAAGCCTCCCTTGCAGTTTCACATCATCTTATTTAGGTTCCCATACTAATGTGAACCAGTGATACTCATCTCTAGGCCTGGCTTCCTTCCCTCAACAAAGCCATCCACCTGTGGACAGGCCCTAGACTGGTTCAACAGCTCAGCCTCGTGAACAGTCACACCGGACACAGGTACACAGGGACCCACAGATGCCGTCTCGCATCGCTTCCTGTCTGCACCAAGAAACCGTACTGTTCAAATAGGTGCTCTATTTTTACTTTGGTTTTTTATTTTGTTTTGCTTTGTTTTTTGTTCTTTTGGGAGAGTGTATCCTCTATATACTTTAGGCTGGCCTTGAACTCTCAGCAATCCTCCTGTCTCAGCCTCCAGAGTGCTGAAAGACAATTTCAAGGAAACTTCTCATTGCTCTGAGCACATCCCCACTGTCACTTGCTTATGTCAAGATCACCTATCAAGTCAGTCCTGAAAAACAGAAAAAATGTGCAGTGCACAGTGGCCCAAACTCTGATCCCATCACTTGGGAGCCTGAGCAGGGCATCTTGTGTCTATTAGCCAAGCTTAGTCACCAAAGAATTTGGACAGAGCAGTCTGGGTTTTGTGGAGGGGAAGAAGACATTTGGGAACACTTGTGGCCACTTGCCCTGGAGCTCATGGTCCCCAGCCAAGCCTTGCAGATGACATGCTGGAAGTGGTGGTGAGTAACAAAATGCCAAGACCAGCAGATGAGGGGCTGGAGACAGAAAAGCTCTGAGAGGTAGCCAGTAAGGAGGGATGGCTACAGAAAATGGGACGGAAGCCAGGGATGGGAGAAGGACAGGCAGTGACACGAGGAGGCCAACAGATCCAAAATCTATGGAGCAAGAAGAGATGGTGGGTGAGTTCCCAGAATGCATAGGGAGAGCCGTGACCCAAGCAGAGCTTCCCCCAGCTGGGCGAAGCTGTCTGCAGCAGTTGTCTGTAGAGAGGTCCAGAGGAGACACTGACAAGGAGAAGTGGGGGAGATGGAGACCAGTGAAGGTGAGATGGGGCACAAAGGCATGAAGGGGTAACAGCGGAAGAAGTCTGGGATGTGGGAGGAGGGGCTGTGCTGAGATGGGCAAAGGCTGAGCTCCAAACAGTGAGGCTTCCCAGGCCAGAGGAGGAAGTTGGATTTGTTGTCAGAGTCTGCGGATGAACAGCAGGAGGACCTGCTGGGTTTTCTGAGGCAGTTTCTGGGTTAGCACCCCATTTCCTGTGTCAGGACTGGTCATGAGAACCACAGAGGAGGGGAGGACACGCCCAGGTTCCTGGACTTAGTCTGGAATGTAGACCCCAGACTGCACCGCAGTCCCCAAGCCAGAAGAAAAAGGGAGTGGTCGTCTGAGCCCCAAGAGTCAAAGGGGGACCTGGGGGGCTACGTGGATTTTCCTCACCAGTCTGCGCTATCCGCCAGGGCATACCTTTATCCTGCTGCCTCCTCTTTTACTTGGCCCCAGCTCACTCTGCAGAGCCAGTTTCTCCTCAGTCTTCACTTTTACTTTTTCAAATAAATGTCATCATTACAAAAAAGGAGGAGGAAGAAAAGAAGAAGGAGGAGGAGGAGGAGCAAGAGGAGAAGGAGAAAGAGAAGGAAAGGCATTGCACTGGGAAACCTGGCTCTGATCTTCAACACCTGTGGGGCGTGGCACTCTCCAGTGGACTCCAAATGACACCAAAGAGGATGCGCCTGGCATCAGCACTGCCTGAGCACCACCTTCAGCAGGACGTGTATACGGAGGCACCGAACTACACTTCCCACCCAGTCATTCAGGAACAGACATGTGTCCCTTCCTTATCCATGGAGGAGAGTATACCGTGGCCTGGAGCTCTCTGTTCGTGGAGAATTCCAGGGCCCATCGATCTTCAGGAACACAGAAGTGACAGAGTTCTCGTGGGTCTCCAAATAACCCCACCACTGAGGTCAGAAAGCCCAGGCACAACAGTTCTGCCTTGAAGAGCTCTTGCTGGTTCTCTCCACGCGCAGGCTTCAGGCCGTCAGGCTGTCAGCACTGGATGGGTGTCCTTCACACCCAGATGGGACCCTCACAAGAGAAAAGGACCTGCATGCTTTCTAAGTTTGAAAGAGCTACATTCCTGTGCCCTGGGGACACCACAGTGTGCCCGAAGATCCTAGTCACACGGATATTTGCTGCTATCCAGGCCCTCACTCAGTTCCTCCTCCAGGAGTCTGAGGGCTGAGCCCCGTTCCCTGCCAGCTGAATGTCCTTCTTCCTCTCGTCCCATCTGCCTACCCAGAACCCCTTCTGGAACCTTCTCCCAGGCAGGCCCAATTCTCCCTGTTCTCCTGCCCTGTGGGAATCGTTGTGCCAGGTCCCAAGCTAACGCTGTGCTCTCTTCACAGAGGACTCCGTGGTTTAGATTCCTGGCCTGGGACAAGAACCTACTGACATGTGACCAGGTGAGGTCCTCCTTTGAGCCAGGATCTGACTGTGGCACAGCCCAGGGAGGGACAGGTTCCAAGCCCACAGTCCTTTTCCTGTCCCTGGGTGTAGCTCACACTTGACCTGCCCACTGTCCAGGCCCCTGAAGGCTGGCCACCGTGTCTCTCTGCATGTGGCTTTTTCTGGTAGGCTAGAAGGATGTGCCCACCTCTGCCTGGGTTCTCCAGGCTCTGAGCCCAGGTCACAGTATTCCCTGGAGATGAGCTAGTCTTCCCTATCACTAACCGAAGTCCCAGACCTTCTCCAGCTCCCAGGAACCCTCCTTTGCTAGAAATTAGCAGGGCCCCTTCTGATCCGGGGGACCCAATGCCTAATCTCAAAGAGACCTTGGAAGAGCCATCCTGGGCTTCATGGCCTCCCTTTTCCTAACTATTCACATTTGCAACCAACTTCCAGCCCTGACTTTCCCCAAATAACCACGCTACCCAATGCTGGGCTGTCCTCTCTGAGAAGCCCTGCCTGTCCCCCATCCCTGTCCCCATATTCCTCTGTGCCTTTGAGTGTCATACTCTCTCCCCACAGAGCCTCCTGGCCATGGTCATCGCCCACCTCAGCCAGGCCGGCCTCTTCTCGTATCAGTACCAGAGGATCCGCATCTTCCTGGTGCTGAGTACTGCTCCACCCCCACAGACCACAGCCAGCCTGGGAAGGGTAAGGAGAGTAGGATTCCAATGCGTCCTGTGGTTTGAAACCTCTTTGTACTGTTGAGTCTATGTAGGAAACAGTACACGGGGAGATGGCATTCTTCACCTCTCATGGGAAACTAACAGAGTTCACAGACACTGGGGTTCTGAACACTGAGGCCGAGGAAACAGAACACCCCCACCCCCAGACAGGACAGGCAGGAAGCCACATGTGGTCACCAGGCCACAGACCCACGGGGTAGCCATTTCTGACTCTCCTGAGGGTGTCTCCCCACCCCAAGCAAAGCCAAAATCGCCACTGTCCCCCTCCTCTGCGCTTGCAAGGCAATGTCTCATTCACGCCCTCCTTAGAGAGGAGGGACTTCAGTGTGAAATGTCCCCTGCTGGAGTTTCTTCCAGTCTCATCCCACGCCAGGGGCTTTATCTGCGTAGCCGCATGATCATATCAAAATATCTATGTCTGGAGCCTCCCGGGCCTCCCGGCTACTGCCTGCTCCTTGCTGTATCCAGCCCAGGTCGGATGTCTCCCTTTGAATTCCCCTTCTCTACCGTCTCTTCTTCACCTAAACTAGCACATCATCCTGAAGCTTCTTTCCTTCCTTTCCTCCAAATGCACTTTCCTGTGCCTTTAGCTTCTGTCTTCTGTCCCAATATGTTCACAGATTAAATCTAAAGGAAAATTCCCTACCTTCGAGTCAGTGAAAATCATAATCTTTGGGGTGTGGTGGGCAGACCCAGCTACTCAGGAGCTCTGGGCAGGAGCTGTGCCCATGGCATCAAGGCCATCCTTGGAAACTTACTGTGTCCCTGTTTCAAAACCCAAGGCAAAGAAAGCAAAACTCCAAAGCAGTGTTCTCCCCTGAGCTCGCAGCAGCTCTTTGGTCCAATTCTAATGCATGATTTGGGAGGTAGGTGGGACCAATGTTGAAGCCTGAGTGTTATAAAAATATCTATTCATTCTGATTCACTCGTCAACTCAATCCTTTTCATTCTGCAAGTGTCTATGCTATAGCTCGAGTCCATGAGGGAGGTGATAGAGCATTTGATTACAGGTACAGAGCCCAGTCACTCATTCCTTCATTGGCCAAAGAAAACCTTAAGCATTGGAATCTCTGTGCCAGGGAACGTAAAGCAGTGGGAAGGCAAGGTAGGCTGCGCTGCTGGGCTTCATACCTCACGAGCCAGGCTCTGTGTTGGCCATTAGGGGGACAGGGATGAGCACGGATACAAACCCAGGTCACCCTCTCCGTGTGGCAAGGAGAGGTGTGTGCCCTCAGGGCAACCCCAGGGGCCTCCACAGAGAAATGCACCAGTGGAACACAGCATCGGATGCAGCAGACTGTAGTAGTTGGTAAGTTATTCAGGTTCAGACCCCCATAGCAGAGGGAAATTGGCCATTTGGAGAGGGCTCAGCAGAGCTCAGAACTCAGGATAGCTGTAGGATGGCTCATTCTGTTAGCTTCCAGTGTCCTGGTGAGGCTCTAGAATTCACGTTGGTAGGAGGTTAGGGAGCCAAATTCAAGCCCACAGGAGGCACATAGTGTGTTACAGGCTGAACAAATGGGGCTCCAGCCTCCCAGAAACCAGCCTGAACTTCAGTGGAACTAAAGATACAAGCTTGCTTGGATTATTTACCATCCCACTGCCAAGCTGCCGCTGGCTTGCTAAAATTAATCAGCTCAGATCAGGACTCTGTCTGCCCATGTTGTCTTTCAGTGACAGCAGAGACATGCCTTGAAGCAGACAATTTTTTTATTCTTTTCTCTCTTCTTTCGATTTTGTTTATTTTCTTTGTTCTTGTTTTTATATGAATGTGAACATGGTTTCTAGTTTTTTTGTTGTTCTGTCTGTTCTTTTAAAATTTATTTATTTTTGTCTTTTTGAGACAGGGTTTCCCTATGTAGTTCAGGCTGGCCTTGAACTCACTTTGTAACCCCACTCCCCGGCCTTGAACTCCTGGTGATCCTCCTGCCTCAGCCTCCTGAGTGTTAGGGTTGTAGAGGTGTGCCACCATGCCCAGCATGTTCCTTTTAAAAATTAAATTTATTAATGCAATTTAAATGTACATAATGATCACATTCATCACTGGAAATTTGTACCTGTACGTGATATACCTTGATTCTTCTTTTTCCCCCAATGCCCTCCTTTTCCTTTAACCCCTTTTCCCCTTCCTTACTTACAGAGCTTTGTTTCCATTTTATCCTTCTTTTCTCATTCCTCCTTTCCTGCTCCCTCTTGCTTACTCCCCTTTACTTTTGAACAATTTCCTCCTGCTTCACATCGTGCTTCCTGTCATACCTTTTGGTTTTTTCAGTACCAGAGAGACAAAGTGGTACTTATACATCTGGGTCCTACTTATTTCCCTTATCAGTATGGTTTTAAGGTCCATCCATTTAGTTATAAATATCTCAAGTTTATCTTTTTTATGGCTGAGTAATACCCCAGTGTATTTATCCATTCATTGATTGGTAATCATTTAGACTGCTTCCAAGATTACCTACTACAAACCGTGCCATTCTAGACATGGGTGGTTATATATCACTGTGGTAATCGTTCTTTTGGGAAGATACCAAGAAGGGGAACAGCTGGGTCAAACAGAACCTCTAGTGCTCGTTTTTTTTTAATAAACTAGTGTCAGCGATACAGGATTTCAAAACCTTATGAAATCAGCAATAGTTACCATAATGTCTTTTATTGTCTTTAAAATAGCTGCAGATACCTTTGGAGACAGCAAAAATTGAACAGAACTCCTCCCTGCCTGGTTAGGACCTTGGAGGGGATCATGGCAGTCTCTCATGACATATGAATTCCCCACTGCAGAAGTTTGAAGGCATATGGGTCACCTTCTCTTTTGATGGCTAAGTCCTGCATGACTGTGACCCTGTGGCTCCTCAGGGGCTGCTACCATTTCTACTGAGGAACAAATTTACAATATGTACTAAAGTGATCCTGATGGTTTCACCCTGAATTCTACAAGAAATTTAGAGATCTAATGCCTCTACTTTCAAACTCTTTAATGAAACTGAAAGGTAAGCAATACTGCCAGGTTTATTCCTAGAAGAAATCACCCTCATGGTACAACATACACAAATCAATTAATGTAATATACCATATCCACAGAGCCAAAGACAAAAATCATATGACTGTCTTGATAGATGTAGAAAAAAGCATCTGACAAAGTGTAGCACCTATTAATGATAAAAACCCTATAGATAATTGGAAAAGATGGTCTCTGTCACAATCTGATAAAAGCTATCTGAGACAAACCAACAGTCAACATCATACTAATGGTCAGAAACTGAAAGCTTTTACTCTGAAATCAGGAATAAGACAAGGATGTTCACGGTCATCACTCTTATTCAGTATAATTCTGGAAACATTAGCCAGAGCAATTGGACAAGAGAAAAAAATAAAAAGAATAAAGTTAGGAAAGGAAGAAGTTAAAGTATTATTATTTGCAGACATGATACTGTAGACAGAAAACCCCAAGACCTCCATCAAAATATTTCTACATTTAATAACCAAATTCAGTAGCATAGCTGGATAAAAAATTCAATACACAAAAATCATTAGCATTCCTGTACACAAATAACAAACTCAGCCAGATGTGGTGGTACATGTCTGTAATTCCAGCACTTGGGAGACAGGCAGGAGGATTGCTGCAAGTTCAAGGCCAGCCTGTGCTGCACAGTGAGGGCAAGGCCAATCGGAACGTCATAGCCAGACCCTGTCTGAATAAATAAAGAAACAAATGTCCTGAGAGAGAAATCAGGGAAACCACACCTTTCACAATTGCATCAAAAAAAGAGAAATAATCAGAAGTCAGCCTAACAAAGGAAGTAAAAGAGCTTTACATTGAAAACCACAGTACTCCAAAGAAGACATCAGAAAATGGAAAAATATCCCTTGCTCTTGTGTAGGAGGGACCAACACAGTGAAAATGGCCATACTTTCAAAATTGTTATACAGATTCAGTGCAATCACAATCGAAATTCTAATAGCATATCTTACAGAGCTAGAAAAAATCTTCCTGAAATTCATTAGAACCAGAAGAAACCTAGAATAGCAAAAACAATTTGGCCACAAAAGCATGACAGGGAGTATAACAACCCCTGACTTGAAATTATACTGCAAAGCTACTATGATAAAAATAACATGGCACTGGGCATGGTGGCTCACGCCTATAATCCCAGCACTCAGGAGGCTGAGGCAGGAGGATCATTGTGAGTTTGAGACCAGCCTGGGCTACAAAGTGAGCTCAAGGCCAGCCTGAACTGCATATAGAGACCCTGTCTCAAAAAGACAAATAAATAAATAGCATAGCACTGGCAATTTAAAAAACCTGAGTATCAATGGATGAAATTAGAAGATACAGAAACAACTACAAGCATGTTCAGTCACCTTATCTTTGACAAAGGGGCCTAGAAGATTCCCTGTTTAATAAATGGTGTTGGAAGCCGGCTCAGTGGTGCATATCTGTAATCCCAGCACTCAGGAGGCTGAGGCAGAAAGATCATTGTAAATTCGAGACCAGTCTGGATGAGCCAAAGCCAGCTTGAACTGCATAGTGAGACTCTATCTCAAAAAGACAATAAAAATTTTTTTAAAAAAATAAATAGTGCTGGAAAAACTGGTTTTCCACATGCCAAAGGTTAAAACCAGACTCATATGTCTCGCCATGTGCTAAACTAAAATCAAAATAGATCAACAATCTAAATATTACAACAGAAACACTGAATCTGCTGAAAGATAGAATAGGTAGAGCTCTTGAACACATTGGTATAGGCAAAGTTTTTATTAATGAAACCCTAACCCACAGGAACTATCACAAAAAATCAATAACTAGGATCTCATTTGATTAAAAAATTTTGTTCTGGTTTGAGTCTGGTTGCCCCTCCTCCCCCGCAAAGCCTTATGCAGTCACGGGAGCAGGCTTCTAGAATTTGTGATTAATTCGTGATGCATTGCTGGGATTATACTCTTGGGTGGGTGTGTCCTACATACAAT